CTAGAAATCCTCAGGCATCGGATACACGATGTCCATTACTATCAATTATTGATGTTATAAACTGAATGGGAAACAGAACGACGTTGATTTCACCGAGGTTCATTTACTTCACGCCAACTATTAAACAAAGAAGGCGAAAGCTGGATTCCATGAAATCCTACCTAGTATATAATGACTTGGTTATTTCTGTGCATTACGCAACTCCGCTTGTACGACGAATATTCGGTTGACACTATCATGCATGAAGATACATGGATGACAGAGGCAACAGATAGTGCTGACAGACAACTTGTGTACAAGAAATGAGTGAAATAAGGACTGGTGATGGTAAGATTTGTAGTTTGAGATGAAGGCAGAAGGTGTGCAAGTTTTTCAAATAATGTGACCACGTTTGAGCACAATGGTTCAATGTTGAAACACTTTCCATGTGACTGCACTAGTTCTATCCCATTTACAGACGAAAAGTACTCAATTCGAAAAGTACTTTAATTGTATTTGAAGTTTTGAGGAAGGTCACACAACTTACCAAATTACAGAAATGTACTATTCGATGTCATTCATTTCTCATGAGATGAATCGCAATCTCATTGATCGAGGCCACATCGTTTTGTGTATATAAACGAGTGTTGGAAATGATGGGATTCATACAGCAATACTTCTGTATTGCGTTCACACTCTCACTGTAATAATAATAGTAGTAAAATGGCTCAGAGTTCCAGGAATATTCTGTTGTTCCTCTGCATCATCAGTTTGGCTGTAGTGGTGCAGAGTGAATATATTTGTGAGATTATGCCGAATATCACTATGGTAAGTGCAGTGAGAGAGAGAGTATTGAATTTCTAACTGACATTCTCTTCAGAACTTCGGTGTTTTGGGCGAGCCAGTCGACAAGCGTCAATATGGTGGGAACAGACTCAAATTTATTGTGCATTATGATCAGACCATTCAAAGACATCCGTTATTTCCTCGATTCAAGGTAAGACCAATCAATCAATCAATCAAGTGAATTTCTGCATATCTGTATTTGTCCCTGCATTTGAGGTTCAATCGTTGAAAAGAATGACACATTGTAATAAATATGATAACCTTAATCAGCATTTCATATTTACGCCTTTCCTGGTAGATAATTTCTGTCGTATTATTATTATCATTATCATTATCATTATTACTATTCCCCTGGTTAAATATTAAATGTTTTCAATTTCATTGATAAGGGTGAAGTTGTAGAAAAAGCCCTTGATTTCTGGGAAAGAACGTTGAGTGTAAGGAGACCACCAAACAGGAAACTTCTAATTCAAAGGTAGGTGAATTTACGCTGTGTCGTTAGTTGGCTTCATTTTCTATGCTTATCTTCATGGCCATCATAAATGAAATAAGAAACCATTGGCTCTCTTTCATAGATGTGTTTCATAGACCCGTTTATATACACTGATTTCAATATCTTTGAGTATGTGTATAAGTTTGTATTTGTGTATTTTCCTTTGACAGAGGATGCGTTGAACCATATTTCTTCACAGATGGACGCACAGGAAAGAAGTTCTGCAAACAACAATGCAAACCTCAGGCTAAATGCTACGATCATAGAGTCCCAGATAAATACGCTTCCGTAAGTTTCATCTACTCATCTCCTCACTGATTCAAAATAAACAGGTAAATGCTACTGAAGTAAGTAGACTCTCGCAGATAATTTCCTGAGAACTATCAAGGTGGAGACTTCATCATGTGTCTAACTGGTGCACTGGAACAGTGTGAAAAGTAAGACGACATTCAGTTAATCTGAGAATCGAATAATCTGAAATAAGCAGAGATATGTTCTGTGAAGTATAACTGTGTCATCAAAGTCTGTGAGAGTAAAGAGAAGTTCTCACAACACTCTGTGAATGTACATCAACCTGCCTTATACTATGAACACAATTGACACCAGGTTTTCAATTTGTGAAGCAACTATAAAACCAGCGTCCATTCAAACATCACATAAGCTTACTACAATCATGGACGTTCGAGTTCACCAGCACACCAAGGGTATGACACAGTCGTTATAGTTATTCATTGTGACTCGACAGAAAACATGAGAAATTCAACAGTTTCCAGAGAACACCTTCACGAACAAATAATGTTTCTCGTCAATAAAATGTTTCACTACATTTATGAACTCATTCTCTCAATCCACATAAATCATTCAACTTATCTAAACGTATTTCTTCACCTAATGTTGCTTGTATCCACAGGGATGTGCTCAGGGAACTGGTGGTCAAAATATACGAGATGTTTACCAAGACGGACCAGGATTTGCTCCAAACGAGTTCGTCATGTTCGTCGAGGCTGCAAACAAAGGAGCTTGTACTAGTGGGTCAACATTGGCATACGCCGGTCCATGTGAAATGCATCCCACAACTGATAGGTAGATTATGTGTACATTAATTATTGAATGCACAATGTCTGTCAATTTGAAACGAGTTGATCAAACACCTTCTCGAGTTCGCTTTCTGTAACCAGATGAAAATCTGCGGTAAAATGTTATAGTTCTGACGCATTGACATAAATATTATGATTTGTATCGACTTGAAAATAAGGAGGTGGCATATTCAGGCCAAACTGCTCTGAAATGTTAGTAGTGGTAAATGTATATTACTCGTACTTACTCAACCTATGTGTAGTTTCCGATATCAGAAATTGTAGATTCAGTTTACGACTCATCGACTTCTACTCTTCTCATTCTACCTGTTGAAATGACATTGAGATGTGCCTCAATGTGTGTTTCATTTGCGTTCCTGTGGTGTACATTCATCTGAGATTAATTACTAATATTGATAGTGACGATAATAATGACAGCTTCACGAAGAATAGTGCACCTATTTGCACCTATTTTGCGGCGAGATATTTACTCCTTGTTCAGAATCTCCAAGTAATGTAATCACGAATAATGCATTACTGAAAACAACATCATTCCATCCATTCCAAGCTCCATTACCACACGAACGCTTCCTCCGATTTCTTTGAAACACTTCGTAGCACCAGTCTCAAATCTTCTTAGTAACATGTGTGTGATGGTTAGAACATAAGCAGTGTAGTATGTCGGATGCATTTTCAGGGATGGAATAAATTTGGTAGCCCAGAGATTTAAGCAGTCCGCCGACATCGAGAAAATCCTGGAAGCTGCCTCCGTTCTAAAAAGGCTTAGGTTTCCCCTGTGTGAAATATTCATGCCAATCGCCGTACTATGAGGTTTGCAAATGACAGTTCAACTCAAATTGGACATTCAGTATTCGCTGTAAACTCTCCGAGATTTATTTTTTTCCACTGGTTTTGTAGACCAATTATGGGAGCAATCAACTTCTGTCCAGCGAAAATGGAAGTAGAGGAACCTGGTAAAACGATGTTGGTTGGAACAGCTATTCACGAAATGGGACATGCTTTGGTATGTTACTGTGTATCCATCTCTTCAATGTTATGCCTAGTTGAAACTATTTCTTACTTAAAGTATATTTTTAAGAATCATACTGAAAGTGATAGTCTGTGATTTTAGCAGAATTAGATTTGCTTGCTTCCAAATATAGTACACTAATCAACACTTTATTTCGACTGCCGTCTCATAAACGACTGTCACTCTTCTGTATTCATTACGCATCACAAAACAACCAGACACATCTCTCCATACCTCAGAACACTTGAAAGTCTCGATCATCAATCTTTGACAATCACATTCTTCATTTTACGTCAACACTTTTCACCGAATTTCATAAGTCCCTTGAATGTACTTCTCAGTAAAGTTGAGAGAAGGCACACCGTCTCACTGATTCAGTTATACAATTTGTGAGAAACCAAATTCACTCGGCGTGTAAAGGCGGCTGTACGTCAGTGTTTGTGTTTTTCTATGCTTTGCATGAGTGTGTGTGTGCGTGTTGACCACATTACACGAATCACTAACACAAATCTTTCTCAAATATCTACAGGGATTTGTGAAGACGAGTTTCGCTCTAATGCGTGATGAGAATGGCAATCCAAGAACGCCCAGAGATCCTAAAACTGGCAAACCACGAATGAATCAATTCAGACATTATGAACCAAGGTGAGACACTTTTATTCATTTTACATTTGGCTGGTAAATGAACACCAAAATCAATGCTCGTCATTTGGCGAAATTTATCCAGTAGTAAGGTGGTTGACTTCAGGATTTGACTAATCCAATTCACCACATTTATGAGATAATACTTGATTTACAAGGGAAACAGTGTTTCAGTTGAGTAAATTTACCAAACCCTCTGAAAAACAAACGGTGTGCCATTGTTAATCGAAAGGGTATTATTCCAGTGTTCATTGAAACCACTTAATATTCACGATTGCATTACTCGTGTGGGCGTGCGTCTGGGTTTGTTCATAAAACACAAACGCCACTTGTTCTTGTTCTTCTCGTACTCCCTTTCTCATGTAATTTCCACACAGACTGACTGATGACAGGAGATTTCACTCTCAGTTCAGAATTCAGAAAACAGGACGTAAAGAAATTTCAATATCAGCACTAAAACACAAATTCATGGGTGTCACATGATTGCAAAGTTTGTCCAAAGTCACTCTGTGCAAAGTGCAGTTCACTTTGTTTCGCGTTTGCATATATTCCTGAAAACGTTTTCGCTGATAATTCAAGTTTATACGAACACATCACACCAAACACGAAAGCTATGATATTCAGATATTCAGGATGTGATTGCATGCTCCTTATTATTCTGTTGGACAGAGTAATATCTCAAGTGGTGTCAGTGTCACAGTTAATGTTGATGGCCAGTAATATACAACAGATTTCGTCGATTGGTTTCCACGTCTTTTATTGTATCATCGCCTTTGTGATAAATTACCCACCAGTTGATATATAATGTGGAAGGTCTAATTGGTCACAATGCTCTACGAGGGATTATACTGTTTATGAATGTGATTTTTACACCCTTACTCATCCTAATCAAACAAACTCTTTCAACATTACTATTTGCTTTGTCTTCTAGTGAAAACACTGTCAGACGAATCAACCGCCCATGGCTTTCAGCTGTAGGATCATTCCACAAACCATTCTTATCATTCGTCACACCACGTCTATTGGTAAGTACATTCAGTGGGACATCACCACGTTGTGCTCTGGAACATGTTCTTGTCACCACAACAACAGGACCTCTAGAGGCTTCTTTTCCAAGTACGATTCAACAGCCATGTGTGCTTAGATATACTGGTTCCTTAGATTTCAATGAATTCTGATTGCAAATATAGGGAAAATTACTTGATGTAGGGAGGGTTGGATTTTTTGAATTTTCACTGAGGATTTCCTCCTTCAAACTGATGTCGCTATCAGTACCGATGGAAACTAGTATGAGAGTGAGGCGCGATCACATTGAGTTGCATTTTCAGTTGGAGTGGCAGTTATGTGACCTGATAGATGTCATGAGGTATATATTCGAGTGTGACATAAACAGTGGACGGATTGATTTGAAGACGCTTTTCGTTGCATAATATCCTCCATTGTGTGATACATTGGATGTATCTGTTGTGTTTTCAGGAGGAGGGACGTCGACACTACAACTGTCCAAATCTCGATGGAATTGATATAGAGAATGAAGGTGGTGAAGGAACAATCGGTACACATTTCGAAAAGCGGGTTGTCGGTGTAAGTCAATTCCTGAATATTATCGGTCATTATGAAGATGGATGTATTTATATTTACATAGAGATGTATATGGTATTTTGATAACCACAGTTGATTTATTCTTTCAGAAGCATTCCATTAAATCCCGTTTTCCATCGTCATTCGCCATGGAGTAAAGGGATTTTCTCCCATTCAAGTGGTACGAATGCAGCAATGAACCGTGTGTACGGGCTATTCTACTTCACTTTCATGTGGATTGCAGTCGTTTTCCGCTCGCCTATCCAGTTAAACAAGAGTAATGACTCAGGTGTAAGCAAGCATTTTTATGTGGGAGCAGATCTTGTGGTTTGATCGCATCTACAGTACTTTGGGTACACAAGAGTGATGCTCAGACACTTTATACCACACAGGAAATATGCACAAAAGAACAGCGTCAATATTCGGTCGTATCAAAATCGGAAGAAGCAGCTTCACACATTAAATTCGAACGTTCTATGAATCATCATTATTGCAGCTTACATCTTCACTCATAATTAGACAGCTTAGACCATTCTACTCGAAGCATTCTCCATATTTCTTGTTCAGTTAATGGGAGTCATTCATCTGTTTGTACTTGACGTTGTCTGTTTGAGTTAAACACTGTAGTAATTGACCAAGACGGTGATAAAACACCACGTCGGTTTACGAGTACACTCAGTTAACTGAATACGACAATCAGCTGAGTGCGTTATCAAGATGTAGGAATTATGACATGGATTTTTAAATGTAACTTCTAATGAATTATAACAACTGCACAACCTGATTTTTCTTTCAGGATGAAATCATGGCAGGTGTCACAGGAGTGAAAGCAGTGACTTCACGACTGACATTAGCTTTCTACCAAGATTCTGGGTAAGTCGACGAAATCAAGCAAATATTCCTCCCTCCGCATGATGCCTTAATAAGTGGGGATTACAAATGCATTACTTGTTGTTATTATTATTATTTCTCAAGTAAATTTCCCAGTGAAATCAATTTCACTCAGGTATTATCTATTAAGGTGTGTTCGATAATCATTCAGTAAAATCCCCACAGTGGTTGTCTCACTAATCTTGTGTATATCAGAGATTGTGTTACCTTAGTTATAGCATATGGAGTGGTAAAGTAGATGTCATGTTGCAGCTTACACCCTTTTATAATAGCATACTACTGATGCGTTGTCAGACAAGCCAATACACTAGTTACTCGGTTTATTTTGCACACTCCATTTCACGTACTGAATGCTTTCGGGTTTGCTTTCATTTGTTCCAATTACAGTTGGTGGGACGTCGACTACTCACTCGCGGAGAAATGGGACTACGGAAAAGGCCTTGGCTGTAGCTTCGTAATGGAAAGCTGCTATGCGTATATGAACAGAATGAAGCAACAGTAAGATCTCCAGTGCATAATGAATGTTGTGACGGATGTGTGAATATTGTACTGATAGTTTTGTGTGAATCACGCCTGTTGACAATAGATAACCTCATGTATTTGATTAAAAAACGGATTGAAATTGATGTATTTGTGATATTGTAGGGGAAGAAGTATTGAACCGTACTGTGAAGAACCGAGCTCTTTGATGTGTTATCACAAGAAAGCCTTTGGCATATGTGCAGTTTCCAGGTTCAACAGACAACTGCCTGCACCCGAACAATATTTCAGAGGTATTCCTAACCAAGGAGGCACCTCTACACTTTCGGACCATTGTCCTGTGATTCAGGTAAGCTTTCACTTAAAAAACATTTATCTATCTCTCCTTATGTGTGTCAGAATATGAAACAAGCCAGTTGGTGTTGGTAATCGGCATCATTTTCATCAGAACACTATCCGACTTTATCTGACAGTCCAGATATAAAAACTAGGTAGCATTTTGTTCCCTTGTAAGCAGATGACCTCATCAATATGGACTATGACAAATCTGTTAGCGTGGTACTATATGTAGCAGGTAGACTATAAATAATGATTTGGGAACTATAATATTTCGGCGAAATACCATGTGATATTTTAAGGGAATTCAATGGTGACTTCATTGCAACACCTCGCGATACATCGTCTCCAGATGTTGAGGAGAAAAGCTGCACAATGTAGACCACTGACTGATATGAGCGGTCGTAGAGCGGTTACACCAGCTATCACGAATCCCTTGACAAACCTCTGATGCCTTATAGTTTCCTGAAAGTCTCCTATCACTTATCAAGTTATCACTCTCATCATAACACTTATATTTAAGGGCAACTGTTGGAATTAGTGAAATGTAATCCAACTGTAGTGTAGGTTGTTTTATCGCATAATGGTGAGTATAACTCGTCAGTAGTACAAAGCTGCTCTCATCTATGTCACAGCATGATGTTGAAGGTAATTAGCCATTAATTGTAAGGAGGTGTGATTTGAAGAACTCAAAGCAGTATCCACGGTGCAGGTTATTAATTTCGTCTTTCGAATGCATGCAAAGAAGCTGGGAACATTTTCATGTTCCACAAAGCTCCTTCATTCCACTGTCCCGTCACATGACAGATTATTCATGCATCAAACAAAATCAACTCTGCATTGCTCACAGACACACGACAGACTGATTCAAATTCTCAATTCATAACATTCCGGTACATCATCAGTTGGCCGTGCATTCATATATACGACCAGCTTTAGTGTTCTGCTTTGTCACAGATGGATAGGTGATATCACGATTCTGCGTATTTTGTTAATAAAGTGAAGTAAACATCGTTTACCATTTTCAATTTCTCCACTCGCCAAATATACATGAAGCCGATGAAAACATTCTTCCATGAACCATTGATGACGTATTGCAATCATCATTTGAATAGACAACATAGTAAGTCTCCTATCGTTTTGACTATTCACATCTTTCTATACTTTAAGTATTCGAAATTCAACTGTCAAAGATTATCTATCGTTGGAGGTTTCGACTTCGGGAAATGCATCTAGTGACTCAGAATTAAAAATCGTGTAGTGCTGTGTGGATGTAGTGTTGCACATATTCGCGCACAGATTTTCAGCGTTTTTATCAAAATTACGGTGAGAACGAATTGCCTATAGAATTCCGGGATGCTTGATTCCTATCCTGAAAGAAACTACCAATTTCATCAAATTCAACGATTCGAAAAAGTCTTGATAGGAAAACTTGTACACCAAGAAGATACCTTCTGGTGTATGATATATAACACAAATAGGATTGTGGAATTCGAGAAATTGAAGGATCTAGGAACTCGTCCATCCACACTGATTGTTTCACAAGCGAGATTGACACTGATGAATTAAAGTTAATGCATAGTGCACATCCTATTCTATACAGTAGACCGTGGAGCGAAACCCACCTCCACGAAATTTCTCTCGTATGGTATCCGTAATCTTCTCACCCTTCGGTTAAGAAGTGAACCAAATTACAAAAGTCAGTTTCTTCATTTTCTAACTTTCCGTTTTCACTCATTGAAATTCACTTTTCTCAAAGTGCAAAGAGGAAACATGTTCGGTCAAGACTTTGGCAATAATTCAATATGCGTTAGACACAGAGGACCTTGGGAGGCCAGGATGAATGGAAGAGTATCAAGAGATCCTCGGATTTTGGCGACTTGCCATCAGGTAAGCTTTTGTACTAAAATATAAATACAATTAAATGCGACATCACTTGACATCAGGAACGTGTACGTCAGTTGTCATCATCACCATCAGCATGCAGACAAGACGTTGATGAATGTGTATCGACAGCTAACATCTTCTGCATATCATACAGTGAATGAAACTAACTCCCAACTATACTCAAGCTACACATTAAATAATTACCAAGAAAGCAGAGAACCGGGTAGATTCCGAACAATTATTGAACATTGTTAGAGACATCGTTATGCATGCGAGAGCAAAGTGAATGATGTTTTGATTGAAGTCAAATTGAAATCAGCTACTTAGCACATGTTTAGGCAGACAGCATGAACCAGTATCTCACGCGTTTCTGTGAGATGTATTTTCATACTGACTAATGCCATCCTTCCAATCAGAAGATCATGCACGACTATTGACCATTCCCTCATGGATATAGCGCTATTTGTTTCGTATGTTGATTTGTCTACCAACTAAATGTATACTTACGCATTAGAATTAAATCTCTGCATTACCCGAAAGGCTTACCGAAATTTATTATTGAGACTAGATGGAATGTTTAACGAGAAACGCTGTGTGCGTGAGAGCAATAAATCGGCGGGTCGTAGGAGGATAGTGGAGGCTAATATTCGGATAAGTCTGCAATGAACAGTCACATCAAAGGGAATCACAATTATCGATCAGTGCAAAGGAATTCACATGGATGAAATTCACAGCTCAGGGTGACGAATTAATCAGTACCAATAGAAGTGAACAGATGGCTTAGCGATTCTGCAGAGACAGTCGATATTCAATTGTTGAAACTGTTTAGACGACGTGAGTGAGACTCACCTGTTCTAACGATTACATAGGATAATTAATTACATTTACTCAGTATGTGATAGGTGGGAAATTAACACAACTTTCATGTTTGTTGAAAATTTACAGATTTCATGTTCTGGAGGCCTGAAAATAATTGTTAATGGTCAACCATTCCCCTGTCAGTCAGGTGTAGCAAGAATAAAAACCAACCAGGTGACAGGAGATGCTATCTGCCCAAATCCAAATGAAGTTTGTGGAGTAAGAATAATTTGTGTGAAGAATATTACTATATTATTGTTATTATTATCATGATCATCACTTGCATCTTCGTTGAATAATGCACCATGAAAACACTTCAGACTTCATGAAAACAACCACTCATTCACCAATAACAACCGAAATTCGTTAGGCTCAACAGATACTCATCTGCAGCTTGGCCTATGTGAGTGTTGGCTAGAATAAACTGTTGCACATAAAGCGTCAAGGGATGATTCGCCATTGTGAAGACGAGAACAGAAATTTCCATCTCATCAGTTGGAGATAATGACGTTTAATTTGCAGGTAATCCTCCATCTTCCTCAACTCATCTCACTTTCCCGACAGTGGGAAGTGTTCCAATAGTCTAAGTGTGTGTCTCTGATATGTGATTTATGCTGCTTCGACAGAAGGCGGTCGACTCCACCTCTGACCAGTTTCTGATGCTACTGAAACTATTTGAAATATTAATTTGGAGAATGAATGATGGTGATCAGACCGAAACATTCCCTGTCAAATCATAGACAAAGTGATATCTGAACGAGATTTCGGTGTTGATCAGTTTATGCAGAGGGCTTACACAGAAGACCCATTTCAAAAATGTCTTCAGTTCTGTTATGGAATGAAAGTTTCCGAACTTCAAGCCTGATCATCATGTCATGTCACGTCAGGCAGTGATTCAAAGTACATCGCTGAATTATAATAACTGGTCATTTATAAAAGTGGTGACCTAGTGAACTGTGATGATTTAAAATTGAGTTATTCACATATATCTTACTAGGTAATCAAAATGTCTAATCCCCATATTTTTCTCATTCACAGCGTGGAAAGAAGTGAAAACTGGCGGGGACTACAAAGTCGGTCATTGCTTTCTCAAGTTATCCAGTTAACTTGAGTCAACTTGAGGTCGTTATTACACTGCCCAATTTAAACTACTCAATGTATTCACTGTTTTTCCTAACCAATTCGCGCCTAATAAATATTCGATGTAATCAACTTTCTTTTGATTTGCATTTCTATGTTGAACTGGAGTAATACAGAAGTTTGTCTTCCACTTGAAAGAGAGTAGAGATGGGAGTAGGTGAATGCTCTGTATAAGAACGAGGAGTGATAGTTTGTGGTAGCTTTTAACCGGTATTTTATGATATCATCACACTGGTGAAACTGTGAATTTTGGGAACATTTACAGAGGATTTTTCATACAAATAGGATGTAGACTCTTTATAATAGAGGTGTTTTGATTTCTCAATGAATGAAAAACAAAACGGTATTGTTTTACTGACGCGTCGCTATATAATACTTTATCAACGTATTATTAAACCAGGATTTACAAAATCTCAGCTTATATATAACAACTTAATCATCCATCATTCCTCAGCATGGGGTCAATTTTGCGTTGTCAAGTTGACCAATTGGTAAAGATAACAATGGCCTGCTGTGTGATGTCACTTGATGGTATTCTCAGAGTACGGCCAATCCACCTCCATTTATTCCTGCAGGTTTGTTGCACAATTGGTTCCAGCTGGGTTGGTTCGCTCATTGTCAGAGATCCCTGTTGCTGATCGTTTCCGGCCGGCCATCTGATCTTGAGTGGTATTGAGCGAAGAAAGTTGTTGATTCAGGTCAGTAGTTTGTTCGTAGTGCCCTTCGTGACGTGTCGGGCAAGATCCAAGATCTGATCAGTTCAGTAGCACTGACTTCACATTGGAGTTGAAAATCCGGATCTTATTTTCCATGCTGAATGCTGTTGATCTCCACATGGACTTGAGAGAAATGAAAGCTTGCCTTGCTTTTTCGATCCTCACTTTGATATCCTCATCAGTTCCGTCCGCCTGTAGTTGAAAGGATGCCCCCAGGTAGGTGGGTAGGTAGAGGAGGTTGCTTATTCGAGACTCCTCTCATGTATGCTGATTGTTGTCTGTTGTTGTTGCTGTTGGTGTCGGCCAGGAATCTTCATCACCACATCTGTCTTCTCTATATTCGATTGAAGGCCTATCTTCTTCTATCGCCAAATCGTTGCTTTTCACTTGCATATCTTCCAGTTTGTGGGAAATCAGACACATATCATCGGCGAAGTCCATATCCTCCAAGTCTTTTTTCTATCTGTGTGGGTCCAATTTATGCCTGTCTCCTCGTTTCCCGGCCCGCTGTCTGTCGCATTATCCAGTCTACCGCAATCAGAAAATCATTGAAGATAGTAGACAGCCAGCCAGCCAGCTTATTTACTCCCGTCTTAACTTCTTCGAAGGATTCCGTGAGTTTCCTGTTGTGGATTATTTGGCATGCAGCACTATCGTACAACTGTTGGATGAGGTGTATAATTGTTGGCGACACCCGGTAGGAGCCAAGTAATAGTAGTAGCCAAGTCAACCTCAACTCCATTGAGGAAGAGAGCTGACTGCCACTCCAAGCTCCGTTCAATGATGACAAATAGTGTTGCGATTTAATCGATGCATTGCTCCTTTCTCCTGAATCCAGCCTGTTTCGGTCGGATATTTCCATCAAGGGCGTTTTCGATTCCCTCGTGGATGGCGTGGCTTCTTATATTCCTTAGGATTGGAAGGAGCATAACGCCGCGCCAGTTCTTACATTGACGTAATTCTCCTTTCCTTGGCAGTTTGAATAAGTAGCCTTTATTCCAATCCGCAGGCACCTTGGCCTCTTTCCACACCTTCTCTAGTAGTCGTGTCATCAAGTCCGCTGATATCTCGGGGTCCATTTTTAATCCTCCTGCTGGGCTTCCGTCTGGTCCTGCATCCTTATGGCCTTCAGGATTTCTGTTCTCGTCGGTGGGTTGATGTCCACTGGTAGTTCTGCTTTCGCTGTTGGTATTATTGGGCGCGTTGTAGGTGGCTGTCGATTTAGAAGTCTTTCGAAGTGTTCAGCCCAGTGTTTCGTTTGTGGATGTTCCATGTTACCACAGAGACTTTTCCTTTGTCCAAGGGGATTCATTGTACTGAAGTTTCTGTAGCAGTTTGGTTCACAGGGTTGGATTTCTACCCTCATGTATGGGAGGGGGTTGTTACATAAACATATAGGACACAGAGGAGCGACGTTTCGGTTTGCTACTTTTAGAATCAGGAAAACGAGGAATAAAGCAAACAGAGAAACAATAGCAAAAATAAAAGAGAAAATCACAACATGAAAGGCAGAGAAAACAACAAAAACAGCAGCATGAAAGTCCCTGTCAAATACAGTCAACAAAAATGATAACAAAACCATAGACTCGCTGGCCTGGGTAAACTTGAGGATGTAAATCCAATAATATATACAATTATGGATGTTAGTTAGTATTAGATAGTCACAAAATGCCAAACGGTTAGTTATAGGTATTAATAGACAACAAGATTATATACACAGATTCACTGTTCTGAGGTAAACGAATTACAATAAATTACAACAAATAGAAATCAAAATTTTCAACCTGAAATGTAAGTTAGGAGGTGTGTATATTTACAAGTGCATAGAAACAAAAAATTACACAGGATTAGAATATAGCTGTAAAATGGTTATTCTAAACGGATTACAAGTGTTATCACTAGGAGCATGGATACAAACTTGAAATAACTAATTTTATAACTGATAAATAGGATAAATTGAATGAAGTTAGCAAGGGAAAATTATGCAGTTTTGTTACTCCTTAACCATGTTTACTGTTTTCCATTGGAATCTATCCTATTTGTCACTTTCTTCCAAGTTCTCCTCCCCCTCCTCATCCTGCTGCTGCTATCGTCGCATCTTCCGAATTCTCCCCATCTTTACTGAGATCGTCCCTTTTTCATTGCCTCATTTTGACAGTCATCTTCGAATATTGTCCCAGTTATTCAAGGCTTGGTCAGTTATTGTGTGAACATTCGATTTTGTCGGGCGTAATCAACTTCATTTTGCTTCATCTGCATTTGCTGTATACTAAACTCTTCGCTATGCTTCGCTGAACTCTGTTGGGCACAGTCCATCGTATCCGTTTATCCTTGACATGCTGTTTATTTCCTCACTCAGATAACCTTTTAAACAGCTTCGCAGCTTCTTAATATTGACCAGAAGTGAAAGTAAGTTTGACGTTATACAGCCCAGACACCTCACAATTAGAGGTTTCTACATTTGTTAACATCATATTTGTGTATTATAGTACGACATTGCGCACATAACTCAAAGTACTGGTTTCATTAGTCGAGTGTTCAATCACAAATTATTGTTCCAGATTTCTTAGAACGAATCTACATCCTTAAGTATCCACACCAAGTTCACTTTTAACAGTTTGAAAAATTTAAGCATTGGGTACATGATATTCATTGTAACAAACGTGTTTTTTTAATTTCCCAATGAATGAAAAACAAAACGGTATTGTTTTTACTGACGTTTCGTTATTCAGAAAACAGAAAGATTGAGAGAAGAAATATTTACTTTTCAATTAGATCTTCATCTCTGGCTCTACTCTGATATATATAGCATTTTTATTACAATACAACAGTTTGTCAATCAAGTGGCGATAAGTTTGTTTGTTTGTTCGTATTCAATGCTAATAACTTTATCAATCAAAGTATTGTTAAACTATAATTTACTTCGGAAGTGTAACGAGACGTTGGTGAACTACCATTTCTAGACTGCCTAGTTAAGAGGAGGCAAAACGGACATTTTAGTTTATCTATTATATTTAGGAAGAAAACCCACTGCATCAAACATTTAGACTTCGGATCATCACACCCCATCGGAGCAAAGGTATCAGTTGTTTCAAGTCTTCTTAGACGAGTACACTCTTTGATGCAAACCGATTAGAAAGAAAACGAAGAACAAAATACCAAACATTTCTGAGACTCTCAAGATAAGCAACTACCCGAAAAACTTCATCAACGAAATCAACACCGACACTAAATATGGTGGAAAACTTATTCCGAAAACATGAGCCTCAACTGTCGTTATTCCATGTAGATCAGATACGTCGGACGATATCAGAGGAGGGCTCAACAAGCACGACACCAGAGTATTCTTCGGAATGTCAGACACACACACACACTACAAAGCAACCTTGTCCATATAAAAGACCAAATCCCTAAGGATTCTCAATCTAATTGTGTCTACAAAATAAAATGCTTGCTTGGAATGTGATGCGATATGCATCGGACAAACATCACGAGAAATCGAGATCAGAGGAAATGAACACTTTATGGCATCTGTTCGACCACCGAGGAATCCAGTTGAACTAGAAAAGCTTGTAAAATCACCAGCCATTGGTGGTCTTCACACTATAGAATCAGGCCACACAACTGATTTAGACAATATTGAAATAATCCAGAAAAACTTCAGAAATTACAGAGAGCATCAGATGCACTTCATATCAAGTGGAATCCAAATTATCTGAATAGGAATGTTAGACTAAGACAGAATTTGACCTGGTTTCATCACCGGCTACATTTGCTTAGCTACATACAACTCTCATTTCTCTGTTGTTTCCCGCCTAGAACTCGTGGAATTTATTGTAATTCGTTTACCTCAGAACAGTGAATCTGTGTATATAATCTTGTTGTCTATTAATACCTATAACTAACCGTTTGGCATTTTGTGACTATCTAATACTAACTAACATCCATAATTGTATATATTATTGGATTTACATCCTCAAGTTTACCCAGGCCAGCGAGTCTATGGTTTTGTTATCATTTTTGTTGACTGTATTTGACAGGGACTTTCATGCTGCTGTTTTTGTTGTTTTCTCTGCCTTTCATGTTGTGATTTTCTCTTTTATTTTTGCTATTGTTTCTCTGTTTGCTTTATTCCTCGTTTTCCTGATTCTAAAAGTAGCAAACCGAAACGTCGCTCCTCTGTGTCCTATATGTTTATGTAACAACCCCCTCCCATACATGAGGGTAGAAATCCAACCCTGTGAACCAAACTGCTACAGAAACTTCAGTACAATGAATCCCCTTGGACAAAGGGAAAAGTCTCTGTGGTAACATGGAACATCCACAAACGAAACACTGGGCTGAACACTTCGAAAGACTTCTAAATCGACAGCCACCTACAACGCGCCCAATAATACCAACAGCAGAAGCAGAACTACCAGTGGACATCAACCCACCGACGAGAACAGAAATCCTGAAGGCCATAAGGATGCAGGACCAGACGGAAGCCCAGCAGGAGGATTAAAAATGGACCCCGAGATATCAGCGGACTTGATGACACGACTACTAGAGAAGGTGTGGAAAGAGGCCAAGGTGCCTGCGGATTGGAATAAAGGCTACTTATTCAAACTGCCAAGGAAAGGAGAATTACGTCAATGTAAGAACTGGCGCGGCGTTATGCTCCTTCCAATCCTAAGGAATATAAGAAGCCACGCCATCCACGAGGGAATCGAAAACGCCCTTGATGGAAATATCCGACCGAAACAGGCTGGATTCAGGAGAAAGGAGCAATGCATCGATTAAATCGCAACACTATTTGTCATCATTGAACGGAGCTTGGAGTGGCAGTCAGCTCTCTTCCTCAATGGAGTTGAGGTTGACTTGGCTACTACTATTACTTGGCTCCTACCGGGTGTCGCCAACAATTATACACCTCATCCAACAGTTGTACGATAGTGCTGCATGCCAAATAATCCACAACAGGAAACTCACGGAATCCTTCGAAGAAGTTAAGACGGGAGTAAATAAGCTGGCTGGCTGGCTGTCTACTATCTTCAATGATTTTCTGATTGCGGTAGACTGGATAATGCGACAGACAGCGGGCCGGGAAACGAGGAGACAGGCATAAATTGGACCCACACAGATAGAAAAAAGACTTGGAGGATATGGACTTCGCCGATGATATGTGTCTGATTTCCCACAAACTGGAAGATATGCAAGTGAAAAGCAACGATTTGGCGATAGAAGAAGATAGGCCTTCAATCGAATATAGAGAAGACAGATGTGGTGATGAAGATTCCTGGCCGACACCAACAGCAACAACAACAGACAACAATCAGCATACATGAGAGGAGTCTCAAAGAAGCAACCTCCTCTACCTACCCACCTACCTGGGGGCATCCTTTCAACTACAGGCGGACGGAACTGATGAGGATATCAAAGTGAGGATCGAAAAAGCAAGGCAAGCTTTCATTTCTCTCAAGTCCATGTGGAGATCAACAGCATTCAGCATGGAAAATAAGATCCGGATTTTCAACTCCAATGTGAAGTCAGTGCTACTGAACTGATCAGATCTTGGATCTTGCCCGACACGTCACGAAGGGCACTACGAACAAACTACTGACCTGAATCAACAACTTTCTTCGCTCAATACCACTCAAGATCAGATGGCCGGCCGGAAACGATAAGCAACAGGGATCTCTGACAATGAGCGAACCAACCCAGCTGGAACCAATTGTGCAACAAACCTGCAGGAATAAATGGAGGTGGATTGGCCGTACTCTGAGAATACCATCAAGTGACATCACATAGCAGGCCATTGTTATCTTTACCAATTGGTCAACTTGACAACGCAAAATTGACCCCATGCTGAGGAATGATGGATGATTAAGTTGTTATATATAAGCTGAGATTTTGTAAATCCTGGTTTAATAATACGTTGATAAAGTATTATATAGCGACGCGTCAGTAAAACAATACCGTTTTGTTTTTCATTCATTGAGAAATCAAAACACCTCTATTATAAAGAGTCTACATCCTATTTGTATGAAAAATCCTCTGTAAATGTTCCCAAAATTCACAGTTTCACCAGTGTGATGATATCATAAAATACCGGTTAAAAGCTACCACAAACTATCACTCCTCGTTCTTATACAGAGCATTCACCTACTCCCATCTCTACTCTCTTTCAAGTGGAAGACAAACTTCTGTATTACTCCAGTTCAACATAGAAATGCAAATCAAAAGAAAGTTGATTACATCGAATATTTATTAGGCGCGAATTGGTTAGGAAAAACAGTGAATACATTGAGTAGTTTAAATTGGGCAGTGTAATAACGACCTCAAGTTGACTCAAGTTAACTGGATAACTTGAGAAAGCAATGACCGACTTTGTAGTCCCCGCCAGTTTTCACTTCTTTCCACGCTGTGAATGAGAAAAATATGGGGATTAGACATTTTGATTACCTAGTAAGATATATGTGAATAACTCAATTTAAATCATCACAGTTCACTAGGTCACCACTTTTATAAATGACCAGTTATTATAATTCAGCGATGTACTTTGAATCACTGCCTGACGTGACATGACATGATGATCAGGCTTGAAGTTCGGAAACTTTCATTCCATAACAGAACTGAAGACATTTTTGAAATGGGTCTTCTGTGTAAGCCCTCTGCATAAACTGATCAACACCGAAATCTCGTTCAGATATCACTTTGTCTATGATTTGACAGGGAATGTTTCGGTCTGATCACCATCATTCATTCTCCAAATTAATATTTCAAATAGTTTCAGTAGCATCAGAAACTGGTCAGAGGTGGAGTCGACCGCCTTCTGTCGAAGCAGCATAAATCACATATCAGAGACACACACTTAGACTATTGGAACACTTCCCACTGTCGGGAAAGTGAGATAAGTTAAGGAAGATGGAGGATTACCTGCAAATTAAACGTCATTACCTCTAACTGATGAGATGGAAATTTCTGTTCTCGTCTTCACAATGGCGAATCATCCCTTGACGCTTTATGTGCAACAGTTTATTCTAGCCAACACTCACATAGGCCAAGCTGCAGATGCGTATCTGTTGAGCCTAACGAATTTCGGTTGTTATTGGTGAATGAGTGGTTGTTTTCATGAAGTCTGAAGTGTTTTCATGGTGCATTATTCAACGAAGATGCAAGTGATGATCATGATAATAATAACAATAATATAGTAATATTCTTCACACAAATTATTCTTACTCCACAAACTTCATTTGGATTTGGGCAGATAGCATCTCCTGTCACCTGGTTGGTTTTTATTCTTGCTACACCTGACTGACAGGGGAATGGTTGACCATTAACAATTATTTTCAGGCCTCCAGAACATGAAATCTGTAAATTTTCAACAAACATGAAAGTTGTGTTAATTTCCCACCTATCACATACTGAGTAAATGTAATTAATTATCCTATGTAATCGTTAGAACAGGTGAGTCTCACTCACGTCGTCTAAACAGTTTCAACAATTGAATATCGACTGTCTCTGCAGAATCGCTAAGCCATCTGTTCACTTCTATTGGTACTGATTAATTCGTCACCTGAGCTGTGAATTTCATCCATGTGAATTCCTTTGCACTGATCGATAATTGTGATTCCCTTTGATGTGACTGTTCATTGCAGACTTATCCGAATATTAGCCTCCACTATCCTCCTACGACCCGCCGATTTATTGCTCTCACGCACACAGCGTTTCTCGTTAAACATTCCATCTAGTCTCAATAATAAATTTCGGTAAGCCTTTCGGGTAATGCAGAGATTTAATTCTAATGCGTAAGTATACATTTAGTTGGTAGACAAATCAACATACGAAACAAATAGCGCTATATCCATGAGGGAATGGTCAATAGTCGTGCATGATCTTCTGATTGGAAGGATGGCATTAGTCAGTATGAAAATACATCTCACAGAAACGCGTGAGATACTGGTTCATGCTGTCTGCCTAAACATGTGCTAAGTAGCTGATTTCAATTTGACTTCAATCAAAACATCATTCACTTTGCTCTCGCATGCATAACGATGTCTCTAACAATGTTCAATAATTGTTCGGAATCTACCCGGTTCTCTGCTTTCTTGTTAATTATTTAATGTGTAGCTTGAGTATAGTTGGGAGTTAGTTTCATTCACTGTATGATATGCAGAAGATGTTAGCTGTCGATACACATTCATCAACGTCTTGTCTGCATGCTGATGGTGATGATGACAACTGACGTACACGTTCCTGATGTCAAGTGATGTCGCATTTAATTGTATTTATATTTTAGTACAAAAGCTTACCTGATGGCAAGTCGCCAAAATCCGAGGATCTCTTGATACTCTTCCATTCATCCTGGCCTCCCAAGGTCCTCTGTGTCTAACGCATATTGAATTATTGCCAAAGTCTTGACCGAACATGTTTCCTCTTTGCACTTTGAGAAAAGTGAATTTCAATGAGTGAAAACGGAAAGTTAGAAAATGAAGAAACTGACTTTTGTAATTTGGTTCACTTCTTAACCGAAGGGTGAGAAGATTACGGATACCATACGAGAGAAATTTCGTGGAGGTGGGTTTCGCTCCACGGTCTACTGTATAGAATAGGATGTGCACTATGCATTAACTTTAATTCATCAGTGTCAATCTCGCTTGTGAAACAATCAGTGTGGATGGACGAGTTCCTAGATCCTTCAATTTCTCGAATTCCAAAATCCTCTTTGTGTTATATATCATACACCAGAAGATATCTTCTTGGTGTACAAGTTTTCCTATCAAGACTTTTTCGAATCGTTGAATTTGATGAAATTGGTAGTTTCTTTCAGGATAGGAATCAAGCATCCCGGAATTCTATAGGCAATTCGTTCTCACCGTAATTTTGATAAAAACGCTGAAAATCTGTGCGCGAATATGTGCAACACTACATCCACACAGCACTACACGATTTTTAATTCTGAGTCACTAGATGCATTTCCCGAAGTCGAAACCTCCAACGATAGATAATCTTTGACAGTTGAATTTCGAATACTTAAAGTATAGAAAGATGTGAATAGTCAAAACGATAGGAGACTTACTATGTTGTCTATTCAAATGATGATTGCAATACGTCATCAATGGTTCATGGAAGAATGTTTTCATCGGCTTCATGTATATTTGGCGAGTGGAGAAATTGAAAATGGTAAACGATGTTTACTTCACTTTATTAACAAAATACGCAGAATCGTGATATCACCTATCCATCTGTGACAAAGCAGAACACTAAAGCTGGTCGTATATATGAATGCACGGCCAACTGATGATGTACCGGAATGTTATGAATTGAGAATTTGAATCAGTCTGTCGTGTGTCTGTGAGTACTGCAGAGTTGATTTTGTTTGATGCATGAATAATCTGTCATGTGACGGGACAGTGGAATGAAGGAGCTTTGTGGAACATGAAAATGTTCCCAGCTTCTTTGCATGCATTCGAAAGACGAAATTAATAACCTGCACCGTGGATACTGCTTTGAGTTCTTCAAATCACACCTCCTTACAATTAATGGCTAATTACCTTCAACATCATGCTGTGACATAGATGAGAGCAGCTTTGTACTACTGACGAGTTATACTCACCATTATGCGATAAAACAACCTACACTACAGTTGGATTACATTTCACTAATTCCAACAGTTGCCCTTAAATATAAGTGTTATGATGAGAGTGATAACTTGATAAGTGATAGGAGACTTTCAGGAAACTATAAGGCATCAGAGGTTTGTCAAGGGATTCGTGATAGCTGGTGTAACCGCTCTACGACCGCTCATATCAGTCAGTGGTCTACATTGTGCAGCTTTTCTCCTCAACATCTGGAGACGATGTATCGCGAGGTGTTGCAATGAAGTCACCATTGAATTCCCTTAAAATATCACATGGTATTTCGCCGAAATATTATAGTTCCCAAATCATTATTTATAGTCTACCTGCTACATATAGTACCACGCTAACAGATTTGTCATAGTCCATATTGATGAGGTCATCTGCTTACAAGGGAACAAAATGCTACCTAGTTTTTATATCTGGACTGTCAGATAAAGTCGGATAGTGTTCTGATGAAAATGATGCCGATTACCAACACCAACTGGCTTGTTTCATATTCTGACACATATAAGGAGAGATAGATAAATGTTTTTTAAGTGAAAGCTTACCTGAATCACAGGACAATGGTCCGAAAGTGTAGAGGTGCCTCCTTGGTTAGGAATACCTCTGAAATATTGTTCGGGTGCAGGCAGTTGTCTGTTGAACCTGGAAACTGCACATATGCCAAAGGCTTTCTTGTGATAACACATCAAAGAGCTCGGTTCTTCACAGTACGGTTCAATACTTCTTCCCCTACAATATCACAAATACATCAATTTCAATCCGTTTTTTAATCAAATACATGAGGTTATCTATTGTCAACAGGCGTGATTCACACAAAACTATCAGTACAATATTCACACATCCGTCACAACATTCATTATGCACTGGAGATCTTACTGTTGCTTCATTCTGTTCATATACGCATAGCAGCTTTCCATTACGAAGCTACAGCCAAGGCCTTTTCCGTAGTCCCATTTCTCCGCGAGTGAGTAGTCGACGTCCCACCAACTGTAATTGGAACAAATGAAAGCAAACCCGAAAGCATTCAGTACGTGAAATGGAGTGTGCAAAATAAACCGAGTAACTAGTGTATTGGCTTGTCTGACAACGCATCAGTAGTATGCTATTATAAAAGGGTGTAAGCTGCAACATGACATCTACTTTACCACTCCATATGCTATAACTAAGGTAACACAATCTCTGATATACACAAGATTAGTGAGACAACCACTGTGGGGATTTTACTGAATGATTATCGAACACACCTTAATAGATAATACCTGAGTGAAATTGATTTCACTGGGAAATTTACTTGAGAAATAATAATAATAACAACAAGTAATGCATTTATAATCCCCACTTAATTAGGCATCATGCGGAGGGAGGAATATTTGCTTGATTTCGTCGACTTACCCAGAATCTTGGTAGAAAGCTAATGTCAGTCGTGAAGTCACTGCTTTCACTCCTGTGACACCTGCCATGATTTCATCCTGAAAGAAAAATCAGGTTGTGCAGTTGTTATAATTCATTAGAACTTACATTTAAAAATCCATGTCATAATTCCTACATCTTGATAACGCACTCAGCTGATTGTCGTATTCAGTTAACTGAGTGTACTCGTAAACCGACGTGGTGTTTTATCACCGTCTTGGTCAATTACTACAGTGTATAACTCAAACAGACAACGTCAAGTACAAACAGATGAATGACTCCCATTAACTGAACAAGAAATATGGAGAATGCTTCGAGTAGAATGGTCTAAGCTGTCTAATTATGAGTGAAGATGTAAGCTGCAATAATGATGATTCATAGAACGTTCGAATTTAATGTGTGAAGCTGCTTCTTCCGATTTTGATACGACCGAATATTGACGCTGTTCTTTTGTGCATATTTCCTGTGTGGTATAAAGTGTCTGAGTATCACTCTTGTGTACCCAAAGTACTGTAGAGGCGGTCACACTGCAAGATTTGCGCCCAAATGAAAGTGTTTCTTTACACCTCAGTCATTATCCTTGTTTAACTGGATAGGCGAGCGGAAAACGACTGCAATCCACATGAAAGTGAAGTAGAATAGCCCGTACACACGGTTCATTGCTGCATTCGTACCACTTGAATAGGAGAAAATCCCTTTACTCCATGGCGAATGACGATGGAAAACGGGATTTAATGGAATGCTTCTGAAAGAATAAATCAACTGTGGTTATCAAAATACCATATACATCTCTATGTAAATATAAATACATCCATCTTCATAATGACCGATAATATTCAGGAATTGACTTACACCGACAACCCGCTTTTCGAAATGTGTACCGATTGTTCCTTCACCACCTTCATTCTCTATATCAATTCCATCGAGATTTGGACAGTTGTAGTGTCGACGTCCCTCCTCCTGAAAACACAACAGATACATCCAATGTATCACACAATGGAGGATATTATGCAACGAAAAGCGTCTTCAAATCAATCCGTCCACTGTTTATGTCACACTCGAATATATACCTCATGACATCTATCAGGTCACATAACTGCCACTCCAACTGAAAATGCAACTCAATGTGATCGCGCCTCACTCTCATACTAGTTTCCATCGGTACTGATAGCGACATCAGTTTGAAGGAGGAAATCCTCAGTGAAAATTCAAAATATCCAACCCTCCCTACATCAAGTAATTTTCCCTATATTTGCAATCAGAATTCATTGAAATCTAAGGAACCAGTATATCTAAGCACACATGGCTGTTGAATCGTACTTGGAAAAGAAGCCTCTAGAGGTCCTGTTGTTGTGGTGACAAGAACATGTTCCAGAGCACAACGTGGTGATGTCCCACTGAATGTACTTACCAATAGACGTGGTGTGACGAATGATAAGAATGGTTTGTGGAATGATCCTACAGCTGAAAGCCATGGGCGGTTGATTCGTCTGACAGTGTTTTCACTAGAAGACAAAGCAAATAGTAATTTTGAAAGAGTTTGTTTAATTAGGATGAGTAAGGATATAAGAAGGACATTCATAAACAGTATAATCCCTCGTGGAGCATAGTGACCACTTAGGCCCTCCATATTGTATTTCAACTAATCGATAATTTATCACAAAGGTGATTATACAATAAAAGACATGGAAATTAATCGTCGAGACTTATTAGATGTTGCTGGCCATCAACATTTCTTGTGACACTGACACCACTTCAGATATTTCCCCATTCAACAGAATAATAAGGAGCATGCAATCACATCCTGAATATCTGAATATCATAGCTTTCGTGTTTGGTGTGATGTGTTCGTATAAACTTGAATTATCAGTGAAAACGTTTTCAGGAATATATGCAAACGCGAAACAAAGTGAACTGCACTTTGCACAGAGTGACTTGTGACAAACTTTGCAATCATGTGACACGCATGAATTTGTGTTTTAGTGCTGATATTGAAATTTCTTTACGTCCTGTTTTCTGAATTCTGAACTGAGAGTGAAATCTCCTGTCATCAGTCAGTCTGTGTGGAAATTACGTGAGAAAGGGAGTACGAGAAGAACAAGAACAAGTGGCGTTTGTGTTTTATGAACAAACCCATACTCACGCCCACACGAGTAATGCAATCGTGAATATTAAGTGGTTTCAATGAACACTGGAATAATACCCTTTCGATTAACAATGGCACACCGTTTGTTTTTCAGAGGGTTTGGTAAATTTACTCGGCTGAAACACTGTTTCCCTTGTAAATCAAGTATTATCTCATAGATGTGGTGAATTGGATTAGTCAAATCCTGAAGTCAACCACCTTACTACTGGATAAATTTCGCCAAATGACGAGCATTGATTTTGGTGTTCATTTACCAGCCAAATGTAAAATGAATAAAAGTGTCTCACCTTGGTTCATAATGTCTGAATTGATTCATTCGTGGTTTGCCAGTTTTAGGATCTCTGGGCGTTCTTGGATTGCCATTCTCATCACGCATTAAAGCGAAACTCGTCTTCACAAATCCCTGTAGATATTTGAGAAAGATTTGTGTTAGTGATTCGTGTAATGTGGTCAACACGCGCACACACACTCATGCAAAGCATAGAAAAACACAAACACTCACGTACAGCCGCCTTTACTCGCCGAGTGAATTTGGCTTCTCATAAATTGTCTGGCTGAATCACTGAGACGGTGTGCCTTCTCTCAACTTTACTGAGAAGTACATTCAAGGGACTTATGAAATTCGGTGAAAAGTGTTGAAGTAAAATGAAGAATGTGATTGTCAAAGATTGATGATCGAGACTTTCAAGTGTTCTGAGGTATGGAGAGATGTGTCTGGTTGTTGTGTGACGCGTAATGAATACAGAATAGTGACAGTCGTTTATGAGACGGCAGTCGAAATAAAGTGTTGATTAGTGTACTATATTTGGAAGCAAGCAAATCTAATTCTGCTAAAATCACAGACTATCACTTTCAGTATGATTCTTAAAAATATACTTTAAGTAAGAAATAGTTTCAACTAGGCATAACATTGAAGAGATGGATACACAGTAACATACCAAAGCATGTCCCATTTCGTGAATAGCTGTTCCAACCAACATCGTTTTACCAGGTTCCTCTACTTCCATTTTCGCTGGACAGAAGTTGATTGCTCCCATAATTGGTCTACAATACCAGTGGAAAAAAATAAATCTCGGAGAGTTTACAACGAATACTGAATGTCCAATTTGAGTTGAACTGTCATTTGCAAACCTCATAGTACGGCGATTGGCATGAATATTTCACACAGGGGAAACCTAAGCCTTTTTAGAACGGAGACAGCTTCCAGGATTTTCTCGATGTCGGTGGAGTGCTTAAATCTCTGGGCTACCAAATTTATTCCATCCCTGAAAATGCATCCGACATACTACACTGCTTATGTTCTAACCATCACACACATGTTACTAAGAAGATTTGAGACTGGTGCTACGAAGTGTTTCAAAGAAATCGGAGGAAGCGTTCGTGTGGTAATGGAGCTTGGAATGGATGGAATGATGTTGTTTTCAGTAATGCATTATTCGTGATTACATTACTTGGAGATTCTGAACAAGGAGTAAATATCTCGCCGCAAAATAGGTGCAAATAGGTGCACTATTCATCGTGAAGCTGTCATTATTATCGTCACTATCAATATTAGTAATTAATCTCAGATGAATGTACACCACAGGAACGCAAATGAAACACACATTGAGGCACATCTCAATGTCATTTCAACAGGTAGAATGAGAAGAGTAGAAGTCGATGAGTCGTAAACTGAATCTACAATTTCTGATATCGGAAACTACACAAAGGTTGACTAAGTATAAGTAATATACATTTACCACTACTAACATTTCAGAGCAGTTTGGCCTAAATATGCCACCTCCTTATTTTCAAGTCGATACAAATCATAATATTTATGTCAATGCGTCAGAACTATAACATTTTACCACAGAGTTTCATCTGGTTACAGAAAGCGAACTCGAGAAGGTGTTTGATCAACTCGTTTCAAATTGACAGACATTGTGCATTCAATAATTAATGTACACATAATCTACCTATCAGTTGTGGGATGCATTTCACATGGACCGGCGTATGCCAATGTTGACCCACTAGTACAAGCTCCTTTGTTTGCAGCCTCGACGAACATGACGAACTCGTTTGGAGCAAATCCTGGTCCGTCTTGGTAAACATCTCGTATATTTTGACCACCAGTTCCCTGAGCACATCCCTGTGGATACAAGCAACATTAGGTGAAGAAATACGTTTAGATAAGTTGAATGATTTATGTGGATTGAGAGAATGAGTTCATAAATGTAGTGAAACATTTTATTGACGAGAAACATTATTTGTTCGTGAAGGTGTTCTCTGGAAACTGTTGAATTTCTCATGTTTTCTGTCGAGTCACAATGAATAACTATAACGACTGTGTCATACCCTTGGTGTGCTGGTGAACTCGAACGTCCATGATTGTAGTAAGCTTATGTGATGTTTGAATGGACGCTGGTTTTATAGTTGCTTCACAAATTGAAAACCTGGTGTCAATTGTGTTCATAGTATAAGGCAGGTTGATGTACATTCACAGAGTGTTGTGAGAACTTCTCTTTACTCTCACAGACTTTGATGACACAGTTATACTTCACAGAACATATCTCTGCTTATTTCAGATTATTCGATTCTCAGATTAACTGAATGTCGTCTTACTTTTCACACTGTTCCAGTGCACCAGTTAGACACATGATGAAGTCTCCACCTTGATAGTTCTCAGGAAATTATCTGCGAGAGTCTACTTACCTGGGTAGCATTTACCTGTTTATTTTGAATCAGTGAGGAGATGAGTAGATGAAACTTACGGAAGCGTATTTATCTGGGACTCTATGATCGTAGCATTTAGCCTGAGGTTTGCATTGTTGTTTGCAGAACTTCTTTCCTGTGCGTCCATCTGTGAAGAAATATGGTTCAACGCATCCTCTGTCAAAGGAAAATACACAAATACAAACTTATACACATACTCAAAGATATTGAAATCAGTGTATATAAACGGGTCTATGAAACACATCTATGAAAGAGAGCCAATGGTTTCTTATTTCATTTATGATGGCCATGAAGATAAGCATAGAAAATGAAGCCAACTAACGACACAGCGTAAATTCACCTACCTTTGAATTAGAAGTTTCCTGTTTGGTGGTCTCCTTACACTCAACGTTCTTTCCCAGAAATCAAGGGCTTTTTCTACAACTTCACCCTTATCAATGAAATTGAAAACATTTAATATTTAACCAGGGGAATAGTAATAATGATAATGATAATGATAATAATAATACGACAGAAATTATCTACCAGGAAAGGCGTAAATATGAAATGCTGATTAAGGTTATCATATTTATTACAATGTGTCATTCTTTTCAACGATTGAATCTCAAATGCAGGGACAAATACAGATATGCAGAAATTCACTTGATTGATTGATTGATTGGTCTTACCTTGAATCGAGGAAATAACGGATGTCTTTGAATGGTCTGATCATAATGCACAATAAATTTGAGTCTGTTCCCACCATATTGACGCTTGTCGACTGGCTCGCCCAAAACACCGAAGTTCTGAAGAGAATGTCAGTTAGAAATTCAATACTCTCTCTCTCACTGCACTTACCATAGTGATATTCGGCATAATCTCACAAATATATTCACTCTGCACCACTACAGCCAAACTGATGATGCAGAGGAACAACAGAATATTCCTGGAACTCTGAGCCATTTTACTACTATTATTATTACAGTGAGAGTGTGAACGCAATACAGAAGTATTGCTGTATGAATCCCATCATTTCCAACACTCGTTTATATACACAAAACGATGTGGCCTCGATCAATGAGATTGCGATTCATCTCATGAGAAATGAATGACATCGAATAGTACATTTCTGTAATTTGGTAAGTTGTGTGACCTTCCTCAAAACTTCAAATACAACTAAAGTACTTTTCGAATTGAGTACTTTTCGTCTGTAAATGGGATAGAACTAGTGCAGTCACATGGAAAGTGTTTCAACATTGAACCATTGTGCTCAAACGTGGTCACATTATTTGAAAAACTTGCACACCTTCTGCCTTCATCTCAAACTACAAATCTTACCATCACCAGTCCTTATTTCACTCATTTCTTGTACACAAGTTGTCTGTCAGCACTATCTGTTGCCTCTGTCATCCATGTATCTTCATGCATGATAGTGTCAACCGAATATTCGTCGTACAAGCGGAGTTGCGTAATGCACAGAAATAACCAAGTCATTATATACTAGGTAGGATTTCATGGAATCCAGCTTTCGCCTTCTTTGTTTAATAGTTGGCGTGAAGTAAATGAACCTCGGTGAAATCAACGTCGTTCTGTTTCCCATTCAGTTTATAACATCAATAATTGATAGTAATGGACATCGTGTATCCGATGCCTGAGGATTTCTAGACTGTTTTGCTTTATCTGGTCACATTTACTAAAACTCTCCATGTCATCAGAAATCCCCTTCTTCTTGTTATTCACTTGGCGTTTTTCGCCTCCGAAACAAATGTCTCCATTCGCAACACAACATGTTTGTGCCATAACATGCAGATAGATGGAATAAGATCATCCGCCTTTCAGATGAGTCTTGCAATTTGATCGGGATTCATACTATCCCTGAGGGTGTTATATTCAGTGAATCTCATTTGGAAACATTGGAGACGCTAGATAGTAAACCATTAGGATTATACTCACCAAATTAATTAAATGACATTCCGAGCTTCATGTAGTGACATATGTGAACCGACAGAAATCAGATCGCATACATCAATGACATCATCAATATCGAAGACTCTCATGCAGTGGGAATTAATCTGATCCAGTGTCATGGCAGGAAGATTCACCGATAAATGAAGGAAAATTAAAATTGAGTCTGCGCCAAACAGAGGACCGGACATATTACACTAGTCAGTTAGTGACTATTGTCCAATCAATGTTATATAATGCAATCCTACATGAGGTCAATCGCGAGTCAGAATAGCTCAGTTGTAACGTCTCTGACTTCGGTACTGGGTGATGAGGAAGCTGATCTCAGAAGGAACATGAATTTCTGCAGTTTACATATGTGAATTTCTGACCAGTACCAACTAGCACGGAACCTATTTTGAAGGCTTCCTACCGATTGCCTCCAACCAACTTATTATTATTATTACCCCCTGTGGGTTCCGAGGGGTGCATAGGGCTTCAACAACATACCTCCACTTTCTTCTGTTTTCTGCTGTCCTCTTCGTCTGGTCGGCCCCACGATTGACCATAATTTCTGATCTCCTCCTCGCCACACCACCTCCTCCATGTCAACCACGCACCCATCACCCACTCGTCGCTTCCTATATGGATTATAATCGGGCGATGTCCAAGCATGCGATGCCATTCGACGGTCTCCTCAATGTATGCCCGATCCATTTTCAATTTCTCCTACATATTTGTTGAGCGATCGTCTCTTGCGTGTTGGCTTGTTCCCGACCAGAGTATATTTCCTGACATTGATTATTTCCGACTGGGCATCTGATCTTGGAAATGGAGTCAGAGCAGGAAGCTGTTAACAAGAGTCTGTAACTTGCTGGAAGTGCTTTTCGTGACGCGCAGTGAAAGTTTCTGACTCGCATATGAGAACTGACTGGCTTTACACTGGTGTTGAACAGTATCAGAATCTTGTTCTTTATGCAGCTGAGTGCAGAACATTTCAAAACTGGCTTTAGGTTGAGGAAGGCGCATCGTGCCCTTCCGACTCTGACTGGTCGGCCTTCTCATCTTCATCCATTCCTACACCTGTGATGTAAACCGTGCTTCCTGGCGAGATCAGTGAAGGAATTGACCTCTGTTAAATCTCTCTCGTTGATGGTGATTGGTTCAGGTTGTTGTTGTTGATGGTGGTGTTGGTGGTTGGTTGTCTTCATCACATTCGTCTTCGCTATGTTCACCTGGAGTCGTGTCTTCACTGCCAGCCTCTCCACCAGTTTGTTGGTTTTCACCCGCCTGTAAGTCTTCGACTTTGTGTGACATTAGACATAAATCATCCTCACACGAAATCCACACTTTGTAGAGTCTCCTTATGGGTCAGCGTAATGTATCCCAATCTTCTCACTCCCCACTCACAGTTCGACGCATAATCCAGTACACCACAATTAAGGATATCACCGGTAATTATAGACAGCCAGCTTGTCTTACTTCTGTATTCTCTTCGAATGCCTCACTGAGTTTACTGTTGTGGATCACCTGGCACGTGGCCTCATTGTCATATAGCCGGCTGTTGAATGAGGTTGATGAAGATGTGAGGCACTGGAAGCCATAGTGAGTCATCTTCTCCCCCGCCATCCTCCTCTCTTCTCTTCTGTTTGTTTGAAGGTAGGCGTCCGTTGAGAGCCATTCCTTGTCTTGTCTCTTCTTTCTTCCAAGAACTGTTGTACACATTTCCTTGAATATCACCTTCAGAGAGTTGGTTCCAATGTTTTTCCGCGAAAGTTTCCTCAGTGATATCACTCCAAGTAGTGTATCTGACTTTGTCCAAACCTGATCCGTGGTGAAGGTATCCCTTGTAGTTTTGTCCTTCAGCTCAGTTTCTCAATGTTGAACTTGAGTTGTGGAATGTTTCCAGTTGTTTCGGGGAATTTCAGCTTCACCTTGAAGGTTCCTTGAACTAGATGATGGTCTGATGCCACACCTGCTCCCCTTCTCGACTTGTGTCAGTCTCCAACAGGCTAGCTGCGTCTCCACTTCCTCTGGAGTCATTGAGATGAGGTATATCTGGTTTCGGTGTGTCCGTCAGGCGATATCTTTGCTGCTTTTTGCATATCCTTGTGCTTGTACACGTTGTATCCGATCATCAAATGATTGAATGCACAGGAGATCGAGAATAATTCCCCGTTCGCATTCATTTCACCGAAACAGAGCCTCTCGACCCATGATGTATTCTCTTCCTGTATTATCTGCTCTCAGTTCAGCTGGCATTAATATAGCCCATGAGGATTTTGATGTCTCAATTTGGGATATTGTCCATTACTGTTTCTAGTTGTGCATGAAAATCTTCCTTCCGCTTTACTAGTTCCACATTGTTTGTAGCGTCATGGTTAATATTGGATAATTGCAATCTTCAACCCTTCATACCTTTGGAGTCGAATCTTGCTGTCATAATCGTGGATGATATTGGTTTCCACTGTATTAGAGCTCTGATTGTCACTG